GAGAAAATAGTTAAGTTGTATAATTTAATATAAAGACTTATCATGAAATGGCGTGCTTAAAAATATTATGCTCTACAGTAGTAAATAAAAATTAATTGATTTACCTATTTTCTTCTCCTTCCAACAACTTGCGGTAAGCTGCAATTTCTAATTCTAGTCCAAGTTTGGAATCCACAATAGATTGAAGTTCTCTCAATATGGCTTCCATTTCGGCCCTTAGTTTAGCCAATTCTAATTTATATTCATTATTTTCAGTTTCTAACTCTCTTTCTCTTTCTTCCTTTTCCCGTTTTAAGTTGTCTAGTTCTCTCAGCAGGTTAGCTATCTGCATTAAGCGTTCAATATTAATTTGTTTTAATTAGTTGCAAACAGTAGAAAAACTTATAAATAAGATATTAACCCTAGCTTCAGCATCATTTAATTTAGCACGCAGATCAGTGACTTGAGTTCTCAACCTCTTGCTTTCTTCTTTGCTGTGAACTGCTTCCATATTCTGTCGTGTGGCTCCAGTGCGAAATTCTTGAATCTAAATTATTATCACATAATAATAATGTTTAATACATTTATGCAAATAATAAATTAAAAAATTTTTTTAAATATGCACATATGTTATTATTATTTTTAAATCACACAGCTGCTCAAAGCTGTGATAATAGATGCATCCAAGTTTCATCTAAAAACCTCATGATTATATCCGAGTACTTTCCTCAAGATGTGGGCAGTTCCTTACAGTGGTTGCAATTTTAGAACCTCCACCATATCAGATTTTCCTGGTATCACTACTAGATTTTTCTTCAACTCCAAACCTGCTACTCCTATTGCTCCAACTAGCACAGGTATTGTTCTAGATTTTATCCACACATCCTTGAAGTTTCAACTTCTGAATCTCGGTATTTCAGATGTTTTTCATTCTTCTTTGCTATGACATTTCTACCTTCTGGTACTGAAATTTCAATCAAGAGGCATCTTTTTTCACATTCCAGTATACTAGATCTGGTCGTCCCGCTACTATTGATCGGTTTGTTATTATAGTAACGTCCCACATCAACGTGACTTCATCCGTTTTGACTACTTTTATAAAGAATTAACAGATGAATGGATGGATGATTATATAGAAGGGTAAAAAAAGTTTTTAAAGCTCAGATAAGATTTGTTAAACCACTAAATAACTACAAAAATTGAATCATTATACATATAAAAAGTTTGAGGTGCTACACCTCCAGAGTCATCGTTTGTTTAAATACATTTCCTTTGAAAAGTTTTTTGTTTTGAGAATTAATCTGTTTTACTGTTTAATTCACGTTCATTTATTCATTTACCTTGAGGTTGTAAAAGGTTTCAAGTTCTCCTCTCATTGAGTCGAGTTTTTCATCGTACACCTGATGAATTTCTCTTAGTGCCTGACCCATTTCATTTTTCCAAAACTCACGATTTTCAGCCGTTGTGTCTCTGTAGGCCAGAGCTGCAAGTTCTTTCAATTCCTAGAAAAATCAAGTTATATTGAGACGTTGTCTAAATTTTCAAAAATAACTTAGTTTATCTTACTTGTTCGTGAACTGCTTTTAAAAACTCGAGCTCTTCTTCCAAAGTTTGACGTCTATTTTCGGCATCGATGTGTAGCAATGTTTCATTATCTAAATCCTAACATTATTGCAAACATAAATTGTTAACAGAAAAATAATGAAAATTACAATAAAATTGCTAACAATTCTTGCTCGATTGAGAGCATCTTGCAATTGCGCGATATGCTTCTTATCTTTATCTCTATCTCCTTCCACTTGTTCAAGGCGGCGGCGCAGAAGATTAATTTCTGCCTCGTAATCCGACAGCTGTTGATTCTGACGATCAACTTTCTCACGCTCAAACAACACAGCTTGATTGGCTTCGTTTAATCTATAAATTAAAAAACATAACAGACTTTTTAACTTTTTAAAATTTAAATAGGAGTTTACTCGTGCGTTAAAGAAACGTATTATATTATTTCAAACAGCATAAATAAATAAACATATATATGTTGAATTTTGCAAAATTCCACTAACTTCACCCTTGTCTCTTCCAGTTGTTCTTCTAAAGAAGCCACTCTGATCTCTAACCTAGCTTTTTCTTTGTCGGCATCATCCAAGAGCTTACGAGCCTCGTCTAATTCTGCTTGGTACATAGCTTTTATTTGCGTTGTTTCTTTACCCCATTTAGCTTTTAGTTTTTCTAATTCATCGGCCAATCTTCTGTTTTGAGCTTCTAAAAACCTCACCTTTTCTATATAACTCGCAAAACGCTCATTCAAATCCTGCATATCTTTTTTTTCCTTCTCACGACTTTGCTTTACGTTGTTAACGCCACTGTTTGTTACTGCGGCATAGGATCCAGAAGGAGCGCTCAACCCCCCATAGTGCATAGATCGTTCCAATGTATATGTTCTACTGCCTCCAACACCACCTCCGATTCCCGAACCCAAGCTACCTATGGATGATCTTTGAATAATTAAATTTCTTGGGGCAATGCTTGGCCGATAAGCTGCTGAACCAGCACTTGAACCTCCTTCTACAACGTAACTTGAACTTTTGGTTTCATAAGTAGAAGAACGTTGAATGCTGCTCGGCCCTTCCACGGTTCTCGTGGTTGTAATATTTGTATGGGTAGCCATTTTAAACCAATGCCGCCTGCAATACAATCAACAACATTGGATTAATTTAAATATAATTAATAAGTGGTCATGCATCTTAATCGCGATAACAAAAGCGTGTAAATAATTTCACTACTGCATATTTCAAAACATCATATTACGTACAATAGTATTTTTTTTTAAATTGTCGAAGCCATTTTAAAATTATGATTAAACACAAATTTCGACGCAGGGTATTTGATTAACTTTACCTATTTCAACAGACACTTAATCAAAATAACTAGACTAAAAAACTGATTTATGAAAATGTATAAATTGAACAAGAAATAATATGATTCCATACAACAAACAACTCGATTTCATGAAAAGAAATCGAATTATATGCATTTATGCATTTATTTGATAATTAGATTTACAAAAATGTAATATATCTAAGAAAATTTTTATTCTCAATGAAATATTCCAAATTGACCTGAGTAAAGCGATTGAACGTTACCCGCTATTTAAATCACAGCTTTCGGACAAACTATTTTTAATCCGAAAGTATAAGATATGATGATGATATCAGTACAAAAATATATGTATATATAAAAATATATTTATATAAATGAATAAATATATATATATATATATATATATTATCTGTAACTGTTTATTGATTATTTAATTAATTCATTTATTTGTCTTTTATTTTTATTCATTTACACCATATCCATTTATTAAAATTTATTGCTAAAAGAAAAATAGTTACATTTTGTCTTTAAATAGATTTAAAAAAAAAGTAATTTCATTCGCAAAGTGAAAAAGCTGTCGATCCATAAAAATGTGATTTTTATCAATAAATAATATGTATTTTTATATATATATATATTTATGCATTTATTGGTGAGAATCACAGCATGTTAGGTGTTCGGCGCTAGTTAACATCCTATTTAACTTTTCGATTTTTCTAACGGTTAGTTAGAAAAATGATTTTCTAACGGTTTTTCTAATCATTTTCAAGTTTCTTGAGTTCAAAACTAAAATTTTTTTGTTTTATGCATGATAAAATTAAAATTCCTATACCATCTTCGGTGTTCGAATTGATACGTTGTGTATGTGCCCAGATGGTCAAATATATATATATATATATATATATATATATATATATATATATATATATATATATATATATATATATATATATATATATATATATATATATATATATATATATATATATATATATATATATATATATATATA